GTTTTTGTTATAATTATATTTCTTACAGACAAACAGTATAAATATTAAGAATAAATGTATTATCTCGTAGCTATTCCTAGTTGTGAGAAGGCAAATGAATCAGAAAGTCCTGCTCTGAATGATCTTCATGAAACCAGGGAACAAGACAAATATAAAAAAAAGATGAAAAAGAAAAAGGTATGATATTTTTTTGTTTCCATTAATTCATATTTAACTCTTAGATCTTCAGATCCATGGACTGACAGGGTATCATTATTTTACCAGAAAAGGAACTTAGAGGTTACGGTATGTAGTCTGAGCCCCTTGGTTTATGTATGGAAAGTGGATGCCTGCAGATGTTACTTAACTATTACAGTTAATTGAGGGAACAAACTGTTTAGTGGCTGAGGCAGCTCAATGAGTCACTCGTTCATGTATCCCAACTTAATCATGGCCATGTCTGCCCACCTGCTCACATTTCTGCTTAAAAGCACTTCTGTCCAAAAGAAGGAACTCCCAGATTATCTTTTATTTCTTACCTCATAGTTACACTTTTCAGCTCAGACTTGTCTTGTCTTCTTTAAAATTACAATGGAAAGAATCATGTCCCATTTAATAACCTCCTTATATCTGAGTGCCTTTTGCTTTGTAATCAGGCTGGTAGTTAAACTCTTCTGTAATGATTAAAGAAAAAATGGTATTAAAATATCTGGTCAGACAAAGAGATAAAAAATGAGGAAGAAAGAAAATTACATAAAACCTTTGAGGGATTTTAGTTTCTTGTTATGAAAATTACATAAATGTCTAATTGAGGTAATTAATTTTTTCATAGAGTAGTTGTTACCTTTGAGTTCCAAAATATCTCATTTAAAAATGAACACTTTTTTTTTTTAAGATTTTTATTGGGGAATTGGGTGATGGGAACAACCCTGGGGAATCGGGGGAAGGGGAACAGACAAGTTGCTGTCCTTTTGTTCTTCAGTCTAGTTGTGGAGGACGTTGCTTCACTGGCCCAAGTTGGCACCATCATTGTGCTCTTCCTGGGCAGGCAGATCAGCCGCCGGCTTCTGGACAGCCGCTCACTGCGGCTGCTGGCCGCTCACGCTGGCTGCTGGCTACACAGGGTAGCCCATGGCAACCCACTGCAGCAGGGGCTGCAGCCCACACCAACACCAGCGACTCAGGGCAGCCCAGCTCCAGGTTGAGCTGTTGTAAAAATGAACACATTTTCAATTACAGTAGCTTTTTAATGGTAGTAATCCTATAAGAACAATAGATTTTTATGAATTCAAGTATTATAATAAATCATTTATTTAACTAATATCAATAACATTTTTCCCTCAAAGGTATGTATTGGCATTTAGTATTGTATATATGATTTGAATAAAAATAGACTGATACTTTCAGTTATACTAAGGCTTTGGTAATCACTTTTTTGTGATACTCAGATTAGTATTTTACTGTTCCTCTCTTTATCACTTGTTTATGGATTCATGGTATTTATGGTAGATCTTCTTTTCTAGTCAGCCTGCCTCCAGCTTCCGCCATGCCAACACCCTCCTCCCCCCCAATCAGAATGGGCCTTCCTTCCCCTTTTGCCACCATAAAGCTTTCCCACTCCTCCACCTGCCTTTAATTTGCATCTCAGCAAAATGCAAGCAGCGGTAGTAGATGACTGTTACTGTCAATAAAAAGTGCTTGTTCTTATTGGATAATCTTCGTTTATATCCACAGAGGTTATTAGTTATTAGTTCGGGGGCGGGGGGAAGTAAGCACTCAGAACAAAAAAAAATAACAGAGTTAAGGATTTTGGGTGTGACCATGGTGATTGTCATCAGGAACATGCATTCTCTTTGAGGTAGGAAGTCACTTAGAAATGATTTCTTGATTCATTCACTAAGTGCTTATATCTTGTAAGACTACATCAGTAATGCAGTGTTGACTTTTTAACGTGACAAAAAGCTGCTAAAATATAGGATAATGCATTACATATTTATGCACAGTATATTCTTTTTTTGGTGTTGCACTAAGATAGAAAAATTCAGGCCTTACAAAAAAGCTAAAGTGAAGAATAAGTGATTTTTTATCCCATTTTTTCTAATTTTTTTCTTTTATTTATTTTTCTTTTCCTGCAAGTTTGTACCCTTTGACCAACACCTTCCCAATTCCCCCACCCACTTCCTGCCCTCATTCTCCTCTCTTTCTATAAGTTCGGCTTTTTAGATTTGACATGTAAGTGATCGTGAGGTAGTTCTCTTTCTCTGTCTGAGGTAACCTACTTAGCATAATTCCCTAAAGGCCCACCTGTGTTGTCACA